TGCAGCACTAGAGGTGCTCACTAATCTATGCCAAGAAATGTGTAAGACAGTTACCAGGCCAACTGATTTGCGAAGATCCATATTTGTGCACATTCCAAAGATAGATGTGACCCAATGGAAAGTGGAACTCGTCAAACAATGTCGTCAATGTCACAAACAAGTAAAATTTTGCTGAAGATAATCTTAAAATGGTTGCAACAATACATGAACAGGGAACTGCCAGAAAGTCAAGCCAGTTTCAGAAAAGGATGTGCAACTAAGGATATCATTGCTGATGTTCAATGGCTCTTAGCTGAAAGCAAAGAATACCAAAAAAAAAAAAAAAAAGTTTACTTGCACTTTATTGACTATTCAAAGACTTTCAACTGTGTGGCTCATGACAAATGATAGGTAACACTGTGAAGAGTGGGTACTTCAAAACACTTAGTTGTGCTCAGGAGGAAGCTGTATACAGACTAAAATGCAGTTGTCAGAACAGGCAAGGAGATACTAAATGGTTTAAAATTAGGAAAGGTCTGTACTAGGGTTGTATCTTTTCACCTTACTTATTCAATCAGTGCCTGACCCAACTCATGGCAATTTCAATGGTCTCATATGCATGTGAAAGTTGAGTAAGGAACACCATAGAAAAATTGATGCATTTGAATTATGGTGTTGGAGATGAATATCAAAAGTATCAAGGACTGCCAAGAGAACAAACGAATATGTCTTGGAAGAAGTGTAACCATAATGCTTCTTAGAAGCTAGGATGGCAAAACTTTATCTCTCATACTTCAGATGTTATCAGGAGGTACCAGTCCCTGGAAGACATCATGCTTGGTAAAGTGGAGGGTCAGCGAAAAAGAAGAAGACCCCAATGAGATGGACTGACACAGTGGCAGCAGCAATGGGCTGACATGTAATACCAATTGTGAGGATGGCACAAGAACAGGTATTGTTTCATCTGGTTGTACACAGGTCAGAACTGCCTTGTTAAGTGCCATTGAGTCTGTACTGACTTATAGAGACCCTATGCACAACAGAATGAAACACGGCTACACTGCTATAAGCATCAGCCAGAAGTGCTCAGGTCTAGCTCCAAGTGACAGAAAACTTGTTGTTAAGTACAGGTTGACCCAGACCAGAACTGACTAGATGGCACTTAACAACAAGTTTTCTGTCACATGGAGCTAGACCTGAGCACTTCTATCTGGTGCTTATAGCAGTGTGGCATGCCCTTTGGGGTTCTAAAGAAGTTTTGGAACACTTGCCCAGGTAGGGTAGAGGCCAGCGGACTGCATGGTTAAGAAGTCAAGGATGAGAGAAAAGCCTGCCTATGGGCATGGCTGAAAAGAGGTGCTCCTGAATAGAAAACCAGAATTCTGAGCATTTCTGATGCTGAATTGTAATTTATTAACTTCCCTAATTCATCCCATAATCATGAGTATGTTCTATGAGATCTTTGTGGCAATTACAATGTAGTATTGAACTCAACAGAGAAGTGGAGAGTGGCAGAACTGGTAAAGAAGGCTGAAGGTTGGAGGTATATTTGATCTACGCCCCATAGGAATCTGCCTAGGGCTGATGTTGAGTTTCAGTCTCCTTCCTCACTGTGAAGTCAGCAGAGGCCAGAAGCCACCCTCATGCCATTCTTACATAAGATTATTCAGCAATTTTGGATTACAGAATTTGCAAGAAAATTAGAGCCAACTATAAGAGTGGAAAGAAATAGACATATTTGGCACACACATACACACACACAAAAAAAAACACCCTGAAAAACTAAGTAGTTTCAATCAAAATTCAATTAACCTTTCCTTTCTTGTCTAAACTAATAATAACCATGGATAACACGCACATTTTCTCCCAGCTGGGATTTTCTTATAACTATATACTTTAACAATGAAAAAAGGAGTCCTGGTGTGGTGCTTTAGGATAAAGCACTGGACTCCAAGATCAGACTGAATTGCAAGATTGGTGGTTCAAACCCACCAGCTGCTCCTTGAAAATCCTATACAGGGTCACTTTGAATTGAACAGACTCAGTGACACTTAACAATAACAGCAACATTTCTTAAGTATTTTTTTCATTTTACTTCACTTTGATACTACTTAATCCCACATAGTCCATAGCAGAAGCAAACACACACTGAAAACGCAGTCTCCTGATTACAAACAAGTTCCATTCCTGTTTGTCTTTAAATCAAACTTGCATGTAAATCAGATCCTTTATATACAATTCTTACCAGTCAAATGTTTTCTTAGTATATAGTACAGACTGTACAGTTCTATGCACAAAAAGCATTAAAGAAACACTTCCAGATACACTAATACACCTTTAGCATAATAATACAGTAATAATAAGACTGTTTTGATGAGCCCATTTAATTATGAACCACTGTTATGTACCTTAAATTGTTAATATAATGGGCTTTGTGGAGGCTGGTTCATCACTAAGCGTTGTTCATAAGTCAGACACTCAAAACCCAAGGACTACTATCATGCATTCTCCAGCAT